ACTAAAATATGAGTTGTGCACTTTGATTTGCAGAACAAAAAGAAGTTTAAGCGGTCTGCTGAGACCGTCAGAAATTTTCAAGTGGGCTGCAAAAAAAAAAGTTTGCGAACCACTGTGCTATCTTATTTCAGGTCAAGTTTCGAGGAGACTGAAGCCCAGCTTTCCTCTGGAATGAAAATACAGCATCCAGCTTCTCGTGCCCTGACTGCTAGCCAAGAGACGCACTTACAGGCACCTGACAAATCTAAACAGAAAGACTTGGAGCCGATGACCCTAGGAACAGCTTCAGAGACCATTGAAATAGTGAGTAATTGCAACCAGAGTGATGGAAACATTTTCCTATGACACCAATCCTCAGTTTTGAAAGGGTGAACATGCAGATTCTTCAGCTAGAACATGCATATAATTACTGTTAATTACACACAATGTTCCAGTGCAGAAAGTGTATCCACATTTTGGTGCCAGGCAAAAATTCAGTATGGTGGCTTTGGTCTCCCCTTGATAAAGAAGCTTAATTTTCACTGGTTATAGCAGCATTTGATGGGACACCCTGCTGTGTCCTAAAAAGTTACTGTTGACAGTAACAGTGTGATTCTGTCCCCTGCTGATAGCTTTCAGGCTTGGAGTCACCTGCAATTTTGGCTCTCACTAAATTTATGCTAAAGAAACATGCAAAAACACTGTAGTACGTTCAAAAAGTTTAATGGTGGTAGTTTTTTCAGTTCAGTTACTCAAACAAGCCTCTGGAACTCTTTGAAGAGTCCTCGATTGAGCTACAGCTTTCAGAAAGTTTCACTGCTTGAAAACAGACAGACTGTGATGACTGCCTGGTACCAAGATATGGTCAGTAAACCACAGTCTGGGACCTATTGCTTTAGAGCAATGGTTCTCAACCTTTTTTTGGATCTGAGGCACTCTCCAGAAAATCTGTGAATTGATTGGAACCCAATTTTAAAAACAAATCTAAGTATTACATTGCTTACCTCCTTGCAGGAGGCAGGGGTGTCATATCAGCAAGGCAGGAACAAATGTAAGCCTGCCCTTATCTGCTTATCTCCTCGCACTTTGTGGCAGACCCCTCAAAGAATCTGCTGGTACCCTGGTTGAGAATCACTGCTTTAGAGGTTTTGACATCACTTATTTCACTCCTCAATTTTGTGGGAATATAATGACTGGACCCTTGTTCAATTTTGTCTGTATTTGCTCATCAGTTATCTGTGCCCAAAAGAAAACATAACCAAGGCAGGTGTATGGTTTTCAGCCTGAAAACATGTTGACAACCTCTGATTTGTTCTATATCCTCCTTACCCTTTAGACTTCTCCTGAGGACTCCTTTGTCTCTGCTGATGCTCTTCTCAATAGGATATCCCAGCAAACTTCATTAAACAATCAGCCTGAATATCTAGACCCTGATTTAGCAGAAAAGAATCCCCCAGTATTTGCTCAGAAACTTCAGGTTTGTAGCAAAAGTGTAAATGTTAGTGTTCCTTTAAGTTTGTCTAACATCAGTAGAGAACACATTTCCTAATCTTACAAAAACTTACTAAGTTTCAAGCAATTTCCAAAGTTCCTTTTGCCTTGCAGAAAGTTTTAAGAGGGAGTGAGATGAACCTGTCAGTGAATAAAATAGAATACAAATGTTAGTTCAGGAATTTTAGTATCTTTATCTCGGCAACATGATCTTACTAATTTTATGCATTTCCATAAAACATTTTATTTAAGAAAAGAAAAAGCTCAGAAATTTGAACACAGGACTCAGGATGGAGAGTTTATGATGTCATATACCTTACTTTAGTCAATATATCAAAAAGCACAGAGACAGTTGTTTTAGGACCTAATAGTGGAGATGCCAGTCAGGCATTCTTTCGTATTAATTGTGCCCAGTATGTAATTTGCCTGCTTTCTTCCAAAGAAAGGAAATAACTTTTGAAAGCAAATCTGTGTGTATCATGGCAGATTTTCCAAAATAATTTCAAGATTTACATTCAAAACTGCTGATAAAAGTTGCAATTCCTGCTGTAAACGAACATATAGTGACTAATGAAAGGAAGAAGAAATAAATCCATTGGAAAAAAAAGGTCCTATAGCTAATTTCATTTCGGAAAATATTCTTGTACCCCAAAGCATGTAATATTTGGCCCCTGATGGAGGTGTTTCTAGACAGAACCATATCAAAGCTAACTGTAAACCTGGTTTTGTGTTTTGCTGATGTTTGAATTCTGAAAGGTACACTGCATGTGTGTGTCATCCAAGAGTTGTCCTCATGCTATGTTGAAATATGACATTCATTTTTTGAATGTGTAAAATGGTTACATCATGTTTTTAACCCATTTTTCTGTGAATTGTTCACAACCAAACTACTGACAGGAGGAGTTAGAGTTTGCTGCAATGAGGATAGAAGCACTGAAGCTAGCCAGGCAGATTACCTTGTCTTCTTTCTCCTCCTCAGATACCGAGGTATCTGTTTTATGCCTGTAATATGTGTGTGAGTGTGCACAGATTAAGAACCAGAGTGCTGCTATTTTTTTTTAACAATAAGGCGACTAAACCTCTCAGAGTGAAGTTTGAAGTTGTGTGCACCTCAGAGTATCTGAAATCAAAAAGCATGCTGATAGCTGGTCTCTACACGAAGTATGCCATCACCGTCTCCTTGCAGGACTCCTGTGCTTCCAAAATTAGGTGAGGGCAGATAAGAGACAGCCCTATAACACAGGGTTCTGCCTGTAGAGGACCACATGCTTTGTATCTGGTAGCAGAATTTGATCTATGTGCTGGCTAGCATAACAAGTATGGGTGGTTTTTGCATATAACAGACCCTGGCTGGTGGTGCATTTTGCCTTAAGCATGAGATCTAATGACTTGACTCTTAAAGTTCAAAAGTTAAAAGTTCAGTCATTCCAGGCTTCAGGCTTTTGAACAATGGGATTCAAATGAGTTGAAAAAAGACCCCAAGGGTTCCAGAGGGAAAAAGCTTCCCCAGCATAAATCCTCTTTATTCATCAGGATCTGAAGCTTTTCTTTATTGATAGTTCTACAGCGTGTTGGCTAGTGCCTTGTCAGTGTGATGCATCATCAGAGTGAGGCTGCTCCAGTGATGCATGTGGCCTCTGTATTTGCAACTAGACTGAAATCAGCCCTGATTATAATATGTGATGTTTAGTCAGATGTGTGTAGCCAGTTTTGAAGGACCCTTATGGTGCTTTTAACCAAAAGGTCACAATATCCCCAGGGAGATTTAACTCAGTGGTATACTTGGAAGGCGATGTCAAGTGAATAGAAAGCTGACAGGACAACAATGTCCTACTGCAATGAGACATTTAGTTCCAAATCAGGGGAATATTATTCTGACATGTCATTCTCCAGTGACCTTTCTTTTATTATACTAATGATTAATAAATCAGTGGGAAAGCCCCACTCCTAATCCCATGTCACTTGAATATTTAAGTGGCAGCTGTTCATCGCAGCTTAACTGCATGTGTCTGGCTTAGAGATTAGATGTGCTCTGGCTAATGGTTAACTAGTTAGTTTGTAAAAGTTAAAGTTTAAAAATTTACGCTGAACTTCTGTATGATTTGATGGCTGATTAGAATAAGTTTGATTAGTTTATCTTATTTTGGTAAAGTATGGCCCATGTTGCAGCTGTCTGAATAATTAAATGGCTGGTTCCTGGGGTGTAATAAATTTCATAGATTTCATAGATTTCATAGACATTAGGGCT